TAGAGAAACAGATTCCACCACCAAATCTCGTGTAATACGATATTTATCCACTCTCGACAGTTAAATTTTAAATATTTAAAACGCTCGGCGAGCCTCGCGTTTTAAATATGAAAATTTAACTGTCTCGAGTGGATAAATATCGTATCACACTCGATGCAGTGGTAGAATCTATATATATATATAGTGTCTAAAAATAGCATATATATGTAACACTCAGAAACGTGTCCTTCCCCCCAAACGTGTCCGATTCCCCTAAACGTGTCCACATGACGTCACTGAACTGCAAAACAAGTCTTAATGTAAAAGGGCGCCAAAGCGTGTCATTTGTATAAACGCCCAAACGTATCATTTTTTAATAAACACCCAAACGTGCCCAATCCCCCAAACATGTCCATATCAACCTCCATTTTTTTTTCTTTTACTGGAACTATCATTCGTGTCCATATTATAAATACATAGGTTATTTGGTTATTGCTTTTTCATTAACGTATACTCATTTGACTATTTCATTAAAAAATTGGAATAATTTTTTTAGAATAAAATCCCAACTAGTGTTAATACCGAATAACCGTAAAATTTAGGCCTAATCCTAAATTCCCGGTATGATAATAAAACCTATCTACAGTTTTTATTGTTAACATGATGTCGTTCAAATAATGAATGAAATATTTGGCACTGGACGTTATGTCTCTTGTTTGCCTGTCCTAATTCAGGAGCCTACATGCAATTGAGTGGTTGGCGTTTGTTGCTGTTTATTATATTTTTTTGTCGTCTATTGTTTTGTGCATCTTCTAATTTTTATCTCTTGTGTACATTCAGAAAGAACGATTATTTTATGCAAAACTGTGATCTCTTAAAAGTTCGTTAGTTTCAACAGTTGGTCATCGGATTCACAGTATGAACATTTTGAAAGTAAGATTGACCCGGCAGAAATTGAAGTAAATTATTTCGAATACACGACATGTACAACATTTAGTTTAAACCGTGGTAGAATAATTCTATTGAACATATATCATACAGTTAACATGAATCACCATGATAAAACAGTTTGATGGACTGCGATTGCGGACTTTCAGGATTTCTCTCATCCTGTCAATAAATAACTCGCCAAATATTTAGAGACCCATTTTAAAAATTCTTTGATTGAAAAATACGGGTGTCAATGGGTTTGGAGGGTGTTAAATTTGAAGACATAAAATTTAAAAGTAGCCATCTGGTATCTTCCGCCATCTCGGATTGTAAAATACTAGAAAACAATCGGTCTAGATCTTTAATGAAATAATATGTATTTTAAACGAGGAATGCAATTCATTTATAAGACTTTTCATCTAACTGAAGATAATTGTAGTTATTTGTTTTATTGTATTATTCCGACTATTTAAAAAAAAATTGCAAAACCTGCAGCTTAATAATTATCTCCGTGACCTCACTTTTTATTAGGCTATAGTTTTGAAAACCACACGAGTCTTCATTTAATCAAAGTAAGAATACATTGTATCTTTTTTTTATTATTTAAATCCCTCCTCTACATTACTTGAATAGTTATGAATAGCCTTTTGTCCTGTTTGCTTCTGTCACATTTTTCATGAGACGGCCATTATTTTACGATGTTGTCTACAGTTTACAGTTATGACGTCATATTTTAGCATTACGTCAAAAACATATGACGACAGCAATGGCAAGTCTGTCCCCTGCAATAAACAGAAATCTTCCTGCATTGAAACCCCGTGTCGAGCCTCAATGTATTGTCTTTACCCATCTGTGACGTAATGTGTATTGTTACAAAACAGACGACATAGGCAACCGTTGCTAAGCCTAAATAAAGACCGTTGGCATTTGAAAGGAGTACAGAAAGCCTAAATATAGGCTTTACGCCAAGTAAGGGTTAGTAATGCTCGAAACCTAAAATTTATTAAAAAATCTGATAACAAGTTTATCAGATCTATGAAGAGCTTTTAAAATACAAGAACTGTTGAAAAAAGGAAAGTCAATTCTGCTGAAAGCCCACCGTGCAATATTCGGATTAATATAAAAAGGCATCATCGGAGTTTATTAGTACAAAATAATTCACTTAAGTAAACGATTAATTCAACTGTACTAAAATTATTTGTATGTTTGCTCTAAATATGTATGAAATACTTGCAACTGGACAATAAGCAATTTCATTCAAAAGTTAATTCAAATGTTACAGATTAAATTTGCAATTATGATAATCATTAACAACCGGCGTTGAACAAACTAATGCTAATAAATGACCACTTCATCAACTGTGTCCCCCATCATGGAATTGCCGTAAACGTTTTTGACATTATTGAGGGCATACATGTATTAGCGCTAAAAGACGTGAGACGTTCTGGCGTTTAACAGTGGACACGTTTTGGCGAATATCAATTGTCGGACACGTTTGGGGGTTATGAAATCGGACACGTTTGGGCAACGTTGAATATTACGGACACGTTTGGGGGAATAGACACGTTTGGGGGAATCGGACACGTTTGGGGGGAAGGACACGTTTGGGAGTGTTACATATATAATAGGTTTGAACCTTGTTTTCAATTTAGACTTGTTTATATTTTTTCGTTTGGGCTTGTACTATATTTGCCTTCGGGTTTATATCAGCTGAATGCCATTGGCGATTGCCAAATAAACGGATCACAAGATGTAACAAAATAGATCTTATTATTAATTTATTACCAAACAGAAAACAATAAACTTGCGGAAAAGATGGTATACCGCAAACATGAGGTGCAAAAATTTGTACACCATATCCAGATTTCGACAATTTTAATGTCTCTTCAGTGGTGTTAGGAATCGAAACGGTATTTGGAAGGCCATTTAATTTACCTCAATTTAGGACAGACTCTTGAATTTTGAAAGAGTCAAAATAGGATGAACGGATCATATAAACCCGAAGGCAAATATAATACAAGCCCAAACGAAAAAATATAAACAAGTCTAAATTGAAAACAACGTTCAAACTATGATTGCGTTGGATAAAAACCGCAATTTTTATACGTGTGCATGCAAAACAAATTTCTTGGTAGAGGGGTCTAAATACAGCACAAACAACATTTCCCAAAAGACCAAATGAGTGAAAAAGTATATTTTAACAAAACGCATTTGACTAGCAGGTCGAACAACTGATGTTCTTTAACCGTGCTGAATGCCATTGGCGATTGCCAAATAAACGGATCACAAGATGTAACAAAATAGATCTTATTATTATATATATATATATATATATATATATATGAGTATATGTTGGGTTTAATTCAGTTTGTCACAGACATGTTTTAATTTTTTTATATGACAATAAAGATTATTTAATAACTACACGCATATGAAAAAATAAAATTTAGTTTCTTTTATATCGTTATATTTTTTTCTAAATCTAAAGGAACACAGAAAAATACTATTTCAATATCATGGGAAGGAAAAGATGTGTTGTATCAATTCATGGCACAAAAAAAAAGTTGTTACACGCTAATGACAAAAAAAAAAGAAAAAATACTAGTAAACAATATTGACGACTTCAAGTCTAAACCTCCTGCTTGCACCTGTGCTAGTTCCTATTCATATATAATCCGGCTGGCCATGTTATTACCGGTGACCTCAACATTACCAATAACACTTCCCTGCGAAATGTGTTATCCAAAGGTCCGAAATATCATACGCCCACATCCATCAATTGGAAGTACAGCTTCAAAATACTGATGGATTCAGTCGAGGATTATGCCAGGCAATGGGTTAAACGCAAGAAAGAAGACGTAGATACTCATTCAGAATGGATAAAAGCTGTGAGGTCGTTGATACAAATCAGAATTAAGAAACGTAATAGGTCTATCAATACCCATGCTACATCAATCTTTAAAGACCCAAATATTGCAAAACCTACCGCCATGACAAATATGTTGTTGTCCCCGCAGATAAAGCCCCATACAACTTCGTTTTTATGTGCTAATCACATTACATAAACTTCTTGATAAATGAATTGGGTATTGACAATTCACTTGGAAACTCATCATATACCCCCACGACACTTACTAAAGAGGAAGTCCTGGATAATCATAGGTCTGTTCTATGTTCCTTTGGAATTTCAACCAAAGATGAAGAACTGGATCTTGCATAACTGTATTTGATACCTAAACTACATAAGTGTCCTTACACACAACTGTTTATTGCTGGGTCTTCCAAGTGCTCCACGAAAACTCTTTCTTAATTATATACATCAATTTTATCAGCAATCAAAACCGGGCTTCAAAATTATTGTGAGACTACCTATTCTAGAGGTGGCGTGAATCAGATGTGGATACTAAAAAATACTAAAGATCTTTTAGAGTACATACAATCTAAGACTGTTTCATCTTGCAATAGTATTAAAACATTTGACTTTTCTACACTTTACACAAGTATTCCCCATTCCAAACCAAAAGACAAATTGAAAGAGTTGGTATTGCTTTGTTTCATAAAAAAGGATAACCAACGTAGATACAAGTATCTTGTCTTAGGGAGGGATAAATTCTACCTTGTAAAAAATCACTTTGATTCAAACAAAAAATTCCTTGAAACTGACATTATCAAGACGCTTGATTTCTAGATTGACAACATATTTGTTACGTTTAGGGGACGTTTTTTTCAACAAACTATCGGCATTCCCATGGGAACTAGCTGTGCCCCTCTTCTTGCCGACTTGGTTGACCGTTATGGAATATCTGTTTCACAGATGATAGCGAATATGTTCCTAATGTCGTAAAAACAATCCCGTCCCCTTTTCACGAATGTGACCTACCGAATAAGACTTGTTACCGGGTTGGTACTAACATGAGCAACACGACGGGTGCCACATGTGGGGTAGGATCTGCTTACCCTTCTGCAGCATCTGAGATCACCCCAAGTTTTTTTTTTTTTTTTTTTTTTCGTCCTTTCGGTTAGGAGTTGATATTTTTTAACAATCTTGCTTATCATAAAATGTGCTTGTTGTTTACTGCAATGTTATTTACCTGCAAAACTCTTTAAAGAAATCGTCTTTACCCATGGACTTCCACATTTGTCTAGCCTCGAGATCTAATGTCTGTGATGACATTACATCAATACAGTTATGTACAGTTTCGCTCGGGGTCTGGAAGCAATTTAATCCATCAACATACACTACAAAATATTAGAAAATGTGTTTACTCTATACATTTTGTGTTTTCCTTTAAAATAACATATGGATTTCAGAGTCAATATAATTTTTATGCTTATTTGAAATGTTTGATTAAGGCAAATAAATGCTGTATTAAGACAATACCGTCCAAAATTCAGAATAACCTTGATTTAATGTTAAAAGAGTTACGATAATGTCAAGAAAACAAGATAATTTTCAGAAAAAGGCAAACATTAAATTATATATAAACATGTACGTAGTAAACAGTTGTAAATAGTGGTCACTTAGAGGTAACAAGAGAAATATGTAGAAAAACGTTTTCATTAGGCAGGCAATAAAATTGAGAATGGAAATGGGGAATGTGTCAAAGAGACAACAACCCGACCATAGAGCAGACAACAGCCGAAGGCCACCAATGGGTCTTCAATGCAGCGAGAAACTCTCGCACCCGTAGGCGTCCTTCAGCTGACCCCTAAACAAATATGTATACTAGTTCAGTGATAATGGACGTCATATACTAAACTCCAAATTATACACAAGAAACTAAAATAAAAATGATACAAGACTAACATAGGCCAGAGGCTCCTGACTTGGGACAGGCGCAAAAATGCGGCGGGGTTAAACATGTTTTTTGAGATCTCAACTCTTCCCCTATACCTCTAGCCAATGTAGAAAAAACAAACGCACAACAGTACGCACAATAAAACTCAGTTTAAAAGAAGTCCGAGTCCGATGTCAGAATAGGAAACAAAAGAAAATAAACAAAATGACAATAATACATAAATAACAACAGACTACTAGCAGTTACTGACATGCCAGCTCCAGACCTCAATTAAACTGATTGAAAGATTATGTCTTCATCATATGAATATCAAGCACAATCCCTCCTGTTAGGGGTTTAGTATTATACCATCATAAAATATATGAGAAGAACATAACCCGTGTCATGCCAACAACTGGTTTTAGAATAAATATGTTTAATTCCGATGCAAAGACCCTATAAGTGAATCAATATTAAAGCCAAAATATGCAATCTTTAATGACCTGACAACAGTATCGTAACTATATCCCTTCTTAATAAGTCTGTTTAAAGGTTTTGTTAGCTTTTGAGGTGAATACTGACATACACGTAAGAGATGCATATTTAGAAAATGTCATGCAATTTGAGTAGTAAAAGGCAGCATTAAGGAATATAAGAATATAAAATATACATAAAAAGCATTAACTTTGGTGGATAATTGTCTCATTGGCAACCATACCACATCTCCTTATTTTTATATTAGATATACAATTGTAAATTAGACACCTCAAATTGGAGAGAAAATGACAAGAGATTAAGAAAAGCTCAACAGACAAATAAAAAAAAATTTGGAAAATTGTTTTTGAAAAGAAAAATTCTTTAAAAATGGAAATAAAGCGGAAGAGCTCCGAATGGATAGAAAGGTCTTGTGACTTTATAATCTAAGTTGGTTGCTCTGGGACAGTCAAACGGGGTTGTTCTGTTGAATTTGTGTATGGTATCATGATAGTAAAATGTAGGGAAGACTAAACTTACCTTTTTTATTGTCGCAGAGAACATCTATACTTTTTTCAATTGCTGTCTGATCATGTCCTGACATCATTAAATACTCCTCTGCTTGGGGACAATTCTTCATGACTAATCTCATGCAATCGTATAATTGTTTTCTTGATCTGCGAAAAAAAGAATCACTTGAAACTGTTTTCATTGAAATCACTAAATTTTTAAAGTTTTTAAACAAAAATAAATTATGATTAAACAATTTTCAATCAACGTCAAAAAATTTACTGGTACGTTAATACATTTGTGTTAATGATCCCATAGAAAAGAAGAATAAAATAAAAAAAAAAAAAATAGAAATAACACAATAATACTGGCATGGTTGACAAAAGCGGTAAAACAGGATAACTATTTACGCGACAATTGTAAAAATATGTCTCTTATAATAGAAACGAAAGGATATGGGGTATTCATCCAAGACACAAAGTCAGTACACCCGCAGCAAAAAAAAGCTTATGATGGGAAATGCATATTATTGAATATATACGTACCCACAAAACTTTTGTGCAGCATCCATATCTTTGCCAATGACTGCTCCCTCCACATCTTTGTCGTCTGAGATAAACATGTCGGGACTAAATCCAACTTTGGTATAACATCTTTGCATTTCTCTGTTCACCAGAGGTACACATATTGGTGACGGGGGTAACAGTCCTGGAATAACACAGACAATGTCGAAAATAAGATTTCAAGTTTAAAAGAAATTAAGAATAATATATAATGGTACATACATACATTTAAATATCTGCAAGCTGCGGAACCGTAGCTCTTATGCTCATTTGATAATTTTTGACAATTTGCAGACTATACATCTATGTCCACAAATTGTCAAAAATTATCAAAATGAGCATAAGAGCCGCAGCTATATGTACTAGCTCTATGATCCGCAATTTGTAAAATAAATATCATAAAAACCATAACAGCTATGATTCCGCAGCTACGTTGTATACATGCTATATAGAGTATAACTAATATCAAACTTTCAAAATAGAAAACTATCGTATATATTATATTTTTATCAAAAAGAAAAATAATTGCTTATCACAATAAATGCAAGCTACATCTACTTGACGATTTATATATTTCTTTTACTTTCCGGAGCCCAAAGATCCCCCCCCCCCCCATTTTTAGTGGGCTTCGTGTTGCATAGCCTTCAAGTTGGTTTTCTATGTTGTGTTTTGTATACTGTTGTTTGTCTTTTGGTCTTTTTTTTTAAGTTGCCATGGCGTTGTCAATGTATTTTCGACCAATGAGTTTGAATGTCCCTTTGGTATCGTTTGCTTCTCTTCCTTTTTGGCAATAAATGAGGTTAATTTGAAACAAACCTGCTTCACATACGTCCTGGACGATTCGAAGACCTTTCAGTGCCATTTCTTGTCCAAAATTATAATCATGAACATCAAGGCATGGCGGTTTGTCTCGTTTTCCAATTATGGCTGGGATAGCACAATCCAAAATGGCTTGCCTAGTTCTGAAAAGAAGAGATGCTTTGTGTGTCAATTTCACAGTGTGTAACTGTATCTGAGTAAAGATTAAAGGCTTTGTATGTATGATACTGCATGCACAGTTTTGAACCTTATTGATGTTTAATTATAAAGAATAACGACATAATATGTAGTTCATTTTTTCACAATCTGAAATCATGCCTAATATTTTAAAATGGATTTACCAAAACGTTGTGATTGGTCAATCATTTATGGAACTATGAACTTCTAATCAATGACGAAACGTTTTCATTTAGGCGTACACACAATGAAATCCGCAATCCTATTGAATTTAAAATTGGCTTAAAATAAAGATACGCCACCTCTAGCGAAATTTTCAAAAGTGTCCGTGTACCAAGTCAGGAATTTAGTCAAAATATAATCATCTACACAGTCAATAAAATGCAGTGACGGATCCAGAGGGGGGCGTAGAGGGCGTACGCCTCCATTTGCTTGCACTTTTTTTTTTTTTTTTTTTTTTGTAAAATGATTAATCAGACTAGACTTCGCGAACTTTGCCATTTCCCGTGTATTTAATTTTTATGCGACAATTCTTTACTTATAGAGATATTTTTCGCTCGTATTTACTGTAATATATAGGCTGAGGATGACAAGCATGACGCCTTCAAAGCGACAAAGTATTGAGCAAGAACGTATTGACTTCTATTTCACAATTCCACCCAACAGAAAGTAATACTCTATTACACTCTCATGAAAAAAGAAGTTCCACAGCAATAGTATTTACCTACGAAAACATGTGTAACCCCACACGCCCCAGCCCATTAATAATATTGCTGAATAGTGATCCCCAGTCAGTAAGCTATAGATATAGATTTAAAGTCTAAGGTACGGACCATTTGATTTGAGGGGGCAGTCTGAGATATTTTAGAGAAAAAATTGTAACCCTGATTTTTACCTTAAACAAAAATTCTGGCCGTATCTGGATTGAAAACAATAATCTTGTCCACTTTTTTGCTATTAGAAAAAAATATTTTCAACAAAATTATTTAGCATGAAATGAACATGATGAATAAAAAACGGGCGTAATTTTTTTTTGGGGGGTTGCATGTAAATCCCATATGTCTATATGTCTCCATGTGTCGACCGTCATTCACAACTTCATTGTCATTTCCGACTCATTCGTAGCCTTTGGTTGATTTGGAACCCCTCACTTCCCTGGTTGGTTGAAACATTTCAACCAAACATTTGGATAAAAATTGCTTGTTTGTCTTTCTTCGTGTCGGTCGTATTGTAAATTTCATTGAATAGCCGTATATCTTGTTTACAACAAGAAATCTGTGAGGTTATGCTAACTAACCATACAACAAACGAGAATTTTCCATGCCCATTTTTTACTGACAAATCCCACATCAAATATATTAATCAGTACATAGCTTTGGATCCATCCAATCATTTCATATTAGACAATTAATGGAGAGAATACGGCACCAAAAATGTCCAACCCCTACACTTTAACTATAAAATGCATTTTACACTTATTTTATGTTATTTAGCCAAAAAAAGGTCCAAAATATTTTTCGCCTCGCTCCGCTCGGCAAACTTTAATACTACGCCCCTCCTTTCAAAAATCCTGGATCCGCCCCTGCATGTCTTTCAGACAGCTTTGATGATTTTTATCCAAATAATTAGTGTTATATGAGCATAAATGAACGAATGTTCCGCATTAAAGACACACCTAAAAATATATGGTACGACTTCAATGCTAACGACCACAAATATCAAATTGGAAAGCACAAAAAAAAATCGAATGGGTCTTAACATAACACACATAAACCCGTCTTTTATCAACTTTGCATGCTGGAGTTGTGACATTTTTATATTTACTAGTACTGTTTAATGATCTAGAATTTATAGTCAAAATGAACTATTTCAATCAATACTGAAGCACTGTCTATTGGGTGGATGGTAGGTACTCTTGGGGAATGATAACGACCAAGCGGTAGTAAAATCTTAGATGTTTCCTCTCACACAACACGTGCATCTTGAATAACGTTCATCGGGCTTGGTTAAAACCACATAACGTTTCAAAGCAATTTTTCAGAATCCTACTACGACTAGGGGGTGATTAACGACCTTTACAACACAGTTCGACATAATCAACAAAGGACACAAAGACTTGTACTCCTGTAAACCACAGACTACACAAAAAAAAACCCAAAGCAATACAACTCTAATAAAAACATTGGGCGATATCGCGTGTTCCGGAGAAGTGTGCATTCCCTGCTAAATGATAAGTATGTCATTCTTTGTATGCGTCGCCCATCGTAATTTCTGGGTCTAAATCAAATCATAAATTTTAAGGTACCTGTTCAGGATAATTAATGGATGAATATATTGCTGGTCATCTAGAAAAACAAACTTAATTACATACTTGCAGAGTTGTTCTTTGAGACTATCCATGGAACTCGATGGCTTGGTTTCAGAAAAACTACCATTGCGTAACGTGTGGAAAAAAGAGTCCATAGTGTAGCCATTTTTAGAGAAACAATCAGTTTGAATTTGCAACATTTCTTGTGTACATGCAGATGGTAAAAATTGTCTTGGTTGTCGTACGACAAAAACACTACTATTATTCCCGGATTTAATGGCCTGCATTATTTTATTCATGACACCCTTGCCCTTCCTCATTACACCTCGCATAAACTGTGTCATATTACTTCTGCTATTTCCAAATCTGTTATTTAGATTTTGAGGATTTCTACCAGGACTTTGTTGATTGTCAAAGCCTGTCTCGCCACTATTTACTGCGCTAACACCATTTAATCTCATTGGTCTCGGCATTCTGCCTCCTTGTGGCATTGGACTGTTTAGTCGTATTGGAATTTTATCTCCTGTAAAGGCTCCCGTTGGTTGTGGGTTATCTTGTCCATTCGGTGAACCAACAAACTGCCAATTACCATTAGCATCCGGGATGGCATTCATTGATCCTCCTTGTCGTTGTTGTAAACCAGTTTGGCCATTACTAACACTTATCAACAGGGTTGTTGCTGCAAAGATATTATATGGCAGTTTTAATGATAAATTATCCCTGATTTTTTTGTGTAACTAAATTAAGCTTTCGGATGTTACAAAGTTTCTAAAATTTTAAGATGTTATTAATATTTCATATTTTTCAAATTGACCCCTCAAAACATTTGGGAATTTTGTATGGGAATTGTAACATAGTTGCATAATTATACACGTTACAGAATTAATTATAAAACAATTGATATGAATCACATCAGTAAAACCTTATACAATTTGTGTCTTTTAAAACTTTATGTTTAATGTATATATATTACACTAAAAAGCAATTTAAGTCATCTGAAAATGATTGCTGCAATTATTTTTTTTTTCTAATCAAAGTGTATTATTGTACTTCTAAATTGTGAGAAAAAAACCTATAAAACAGCTAATATTAAATACCAAGATGATATGAATGCCAATGAGACAACTCTTCACCAGAGACTAACTGACATAGAAGTTAACAACTATAGGTCACATTACGACCTTCAGCAATGAGCAAAACCAAAACCGCATAATCAGCAATAAAAGACCCCGAAATGGCAAACACAATTCAAAAGAGAAAAATAATGGTCATATTTATGTACAAAACAATGAACGAAAAACAAATATGACATACAGCAAGAAACGACAACCACTGAATTACAGGCTCCAGACTTGGGACAGGCACCTGCAGAATATGGTGGGGTTGAACTAGTTTGCTGGCACCAAACCCTTCCCCCTACCTGGGACAGAGGTTTAACAGTACAACACAAGAGCAGTTTGTAGTATGTTATATGTTGCTACTTTGGAATGACGTTTTGAGTTTAACAGTTTTAGTGTCATATGGAACATCGAATTTAATCTGACTTGTTGTTCACGAAGAATTTAACGAATTCACATTAAAAATTCATGTAAGATTTGTTCAATCAAGTTCTTTACATATTCATTTGACAAATTGATAAACATGTATTTTTAATCAATTCATTCAATACTTGCGCTTGATTCATAACATTTAGGAAGTTGTAATTATATTTCTGGAGGCGAGGCCATTGTATGGAATCTCCGTTTACGAAAACATGTTTAACTATGTACGTGTATGTTCTTCTTATATCGTTCCGAAAACTACATGTATACTTGCATTGTCACAATCATAGTAATTTAAACTCAAAACATAATTTATAAAAGGTATACGCGAAAGTAAATGTTACAGTACAAAATCAAGGAGATGTTTAATGATTGCTTCATTAACTGAAATAACGTCCTACTAATGACCAAAAAATAGAGACTATGCGGTATGACTTTGCTCATTGTTGAAGGCCGTACGATGACATATAGTTGTTAATTTCTGTGCCATTTGGTCTCTTGTGAATAGTTGTCTCATTGGCAATCATACCACATCTTCTTTTTTATATAAAGTATCAATAATTGAATGATTTTGAAATCAGTAGATATATGTATGCTAATTTGCATTCAAAATCGAGTGAAAACGTTACAAGTTACAAATGTTCGATTTTATCCGTTACTAAAGGGAATATACATTTAAAACTTTGTGAATGTATTTTATGTTATAATGGACATGTTTAGATGATAAGTAAAAAATCGCGAATTATTCCTCTAAGTATTTTCCACGGTAATGTTTATCCAAATAAAAAGACTTCAATGATAAAAAAGTGGGAGAAAATGACAAAGGGCAATACAAAATCCAGACAATATAAATACCAAAAGAAAAAAAGAAGAACAGACAAACATCAAAACAATACAAAGAAAAACTTACGACTGAGCAAATGAGTCCCTTCAAATTACAAATGGTACTTCGATGCTTTGGATTTTAAGAAGAACAATGGTTAACTAATATTTATGGATAAGGATTTTCTTTATTCCACATTTTCATTAATGTTCTAGTTCGATTTCTATTTTGTTATTTCGATGCATGATGTATACATGCATTTGAATAAAAGGAGAAAGTACTATTCATAATGATCAAGACGGTAAAAAATAAACAAGCGAACAATGACGATTATATAAATACCCGACCATATAAAAACAATGTACAACGAAATGAGTATTTTGACGAGCGACTCTGTCGAGTCTTTCAAAGCAGTTGTCTCAACTTATAACTACAGTCATTAAACTGGTCATGCTTTAACATTATTATGATTTTTTAAATCTTTTGTTAAAACAGATTTCTTTACTTTGAATACGGTTCAACTTTGTCAGGCCAGTCACTACAAGTTAAGAATAATATCGAATTGTAAAATAAATTCTGCTTCTCTTTTGAATGTGTTTTGAGTGACAAATATTCAAAGATATTTTCTATTTTATGGTTTATCTTATTTTTTTTAAATTCAACCTCACACATCGTCGTATCAAAATTAGAAAGCTGAGGGCTCAAGATACTTTAACTTTGTGACATAAATCACTAACTGTCGTGTACAGATGTCTTGAAACAAACGATGATATTTGTGGTGTATCAAACCTAGGTTGATCTGCTTTTTTCCCTTTTTGTTTTAATATTATTATCTTACCTATAAAAGAAAATACTTTGAATCCATAACCAAACATTTTTTTTTCTTACAAAATTTTTGAATAGTTGATCCTTTCTCAGTAAATCCAAGGCATTAATGTCCTCAAATCGCCAACAGTATTAGCGAATGAAATCATCAATGTTTGACATTGATCGATTACAAGGAACTTTGGGGTGGAATTGTCAATATCATACGTAAATGAATTTGTATTAACTATTTACTTTGTATTAAAATGTAGGCTTTATTTTTATGCAATTTCTATAAATGATATGCAAAAGAATTTTTTTTAAAATGAATAAAGGCATTATCGAAGAATATAATATAATTTGATTACTTAATTCAATGTGCATCTTGCGAGAGAAATAAAACAGAATTAAAACCCCGATTGTAATATAACTTCCACCTTAGTTGTGTTGGAAAATGATTTGAGAGTTAACTATTTTCTGTATTATGTTTTAAGAAATCCAACCAGATAAGTTGCATGATCAAGTCATTTGTTTGAGCAAATCATCGGTTTACAGTGTTAAAATACTTGCAATAATCCTTTTTTTTAGTGAATAAGCACCAATTCTGTTTCAAGGGATTAAAAACAGCAGGGAGAGTCTTTTCCCCAAGATATTTAATAAGATAATAGAATCCATCTACTTCGTGTATCTCCTTTACTTTTTCTTATTGTTTGTCATATATAGTTTTAAGAGAATACCCGTTGATCTTTTATAATGAGTGTGTCATGGTGACAGTTTGATTAAAAAAAAATATCATATCTAATTGAAGCCGTCTAATGCAAAGAATAAAGTACGTCGGATATAGATAAAAATAAGAAAAAAGTAGTAGAATATTAAAGTAAAATTATTGAATTATAGTTTTTTTTCTTTAATTGACTAATAGCATTGAGAGAATCTGATGTCATTTTTTTCGGTAATTCGCCCAAGAGCCACTTCATTACATGTCAAAGGAAGTCACTGAACATCTTCCTTGTCAATTGATTGGTCAAAAAAGGTTATGAGCAATATTTATAAAATGACCGAAAATTGGTCCGAAAGGTCAACAAGGATTCATCAACAAATATATATATACAAAATGTCTTTGTATGTTAAACCTGGTACATAATATATAATTGACTTATATTCAGTTATCCTCTTCCCAGGTTAAGCAAGAAAATGCAAAAGTAAATGTTCGATGTATTATAATATTTGGAAGGCATCGACCCGTTTGTGTGTTTAACGTCAAACAGAGCAACTGTATGATCTAAGCCGAGTTTAAACTGGAAGGTACTTCACATAATATGAACATTAAACGAAATGTAATGACAAAAGATAGAATGAATTTATCTATTCTTACAAATACAAAAAAACAGCATTTTTATGTTTTTTTTTTTTTAATATCTCGAAAATATCGAACACATGCAATTACCAAACAATATAAAAATAAGAAGATGTAGTATAATTGCCATCGAGACAACTCTCCACCACTGGGGCCAGTATCATGAAGCAATCTTAGTGCTGAAGATCATCTTAAGATCATCTTATTTGCTAAGAGTTTCTCTTGAAGTCATATTAGAATGATTGACAGTCCTTAAAATTCATGTTGCACTCGCAACCCTAAGAGTACTCTTTATCCTTTTCGGAACGATCTCTTAGTTTTAATCTTAACGACTGGTTATCTCGAACGTTGTAATCAACTTAAGATCGTCTTTGATTACTCTTAGCAAATTTTAAGTGTATCAGCATTCTTTTTTTACTGAAAACTTAACAGAAATTTTTAAGAGTGGCCAGGGGCACCCCTATCTCTCTCTTAGGTGATAAAATGCAATGTTCTTGCTTGTGCATTCAAGAGAGCAAATTTGGATATCCATAAGGATTTCAGAGATCGATCAAATCCATTGGATTCCTAGACGACTGTAGAAATATCCGTGATTACAGAATCGGAAAATTTCCGAGTACATGTAACAGCATTTTTTTCATCTGAATAACTGTCAGCATTGTTTCCGATTCGTCATTGTTAAAATTGGCTTTTCTTATAAAAATAAGATGTGGTATGATTGCCAATGAGACAACTATCTTACAAAGTTCAAATGAATTGGATGTAAGCATTTATAGGCAATCGTACAATCTAATTAAAATATAGAACTCGGATTTCGTTAAACTACGTATAAAATTGAACAATTCAATTGAGAAAACCAACGACCTAATCTATAACAAAACAATTGAAGAAAAACGAATATGACAGACATAGACCAACGTCAACCCACTGAACTACAGGCTTTTGACTTGTGACAGGCACATGAAGAATGTGGCGGGGTTAAACATGTTTTAGAGCGCTCATACCCCCCTAACCTGGGACGGTGGATTTACAGCATAAAAACAAACTCTGAAAAACAGTTGAAAAGGCTTAACTCATAAAATCGATACAAAGTAGAAAAACCGCTATCAAATACACAAACCGGACGAAGCAGAGTATTTATACATCCCTAACAACAAAAAAGACACAAACTACAGATCTGAGGGTACTCGCAGTTACTGACAGCTAGTTCAAAGCCAATAACAAATAATGAAAATGTCATGTATCAAAGACTAAAGTATCAGTCAGTACACATACAACATCCAAAAGATTTAGTGTAAGGACGTTATTAACAGTCAGAGAAACACATGACCTTTTGCAATGCCAAAATATAGGTATAAACAGATTCTAGTACCGTGAATAGAACCGTGAATGTGCATATGTGTATAACAATAATATTTATTATGGTTTTTAATTTAATAGTTATACCAATAAAAACAATATCAAAGGTCAAATTACATTGTTGAATTGGTAACCTTTCAGAATAATTAAATTTAGTTAAAGGAGTGATGAATCCTGATGAGTTTACCGGGATCGTATCTAAATGTTCAGGCTCTGTAAACAAGATGATAGGAATACCCTTTACCGTCAGATGTCAAACGGTCATTTTTGCCACAGGTCTCAAATAATCATCCGTTACCGTTTTTATTTTTGGAAAGAATTTATCGTGATTCGTCAAAATCAGTCGATTTTTTTATCGTCATAAAGAAAATGTACATTTTATCGTTATGCATCAAAACATTGTTTACCGTTATTCTTCATGAAGGTACACCCCATTTCAACCCTCAAACAACATCACTGTAACAATTAGGATGTGCTATTCTGTTTGAAATAATTTTTCTACAGGTACAGTCAAACTAGCAAACCAAATATGTGCAACTATGGAAAAATTAAGTAAATGGTTTTTAGTAATTTGTGTTAACGAAATCCTTGACTTAATAATTTACCAGTAATACATAGATTACGTTCATTGAAATCTAAAAACGTCACTACAGACCGTGGGACATAGCGAACGAGTTGTGATATATAAAAACAGCAAGACGGTGCCAAAGGAATATCACCGTCAAAAGATGAAAAATTAACAATAGGGAAAGAAAAATCGTCCCTTCTTTTCCTCGGATCGCTTAGAACACCATTTTCTTCCCTTTTGTTTTTTTATTCAGTGTTTGAAAATATGTCTCTACTGATATAAAAATAAGGAGATATGGTATGATTGCCAATGAGACAACTATTCACCAAAGTTCAAATGAAGTGGATATAAACAATTATACACGCAATCGTATGGGCTTCAACAATGAGAAAAACCAATACCGTGTAATCAACTGTCAAAGGCATATACATGAAAAATATGAAACGGCCTAATTTATAACAAAACAATTTACGTTGACAAAACCCAAACTGTTTAGTAAGGTGCAAAGCCGGGTAATCATTTTGTTTTCCGTGATTAGACTCATTTTACCTTAAAAATAAACACATTTTGCAAACGGAGGATAAGGAGATATGGAATGCTTGCCAATGAGACAAACTGTTTAGCAAAGTGCAAAGGCAATCATTTTGTTTTCATTAGACTCATTTACCTTCAAAATAAACACATTTTGCAAACGGACATATTTTAACTAAACTCGTTTTCTAAGAGAAATTATTCCTGATCCTGAATTTTCTAGTTAAATTCTGAATTCCGATTTTTTTGTCATGAATTTTATCCCTAGTCGGAACGTTGTTGGTTAATATTATATAAAGTAGGATGTTGGGGTTTGGTCAAATTATTTTTACTGGTATTTGTCAGATTGCGGAAACCAGTAATAAACTGGGTTTAATCCTTCATTTTCCTATGTATCGTATAGAGTAGCTAATCGGGTACCAGGTAAATCCACGTCGGCAAAATGGAAGGTTACAAAAAAGTCGCCGGTCTCTTGGTGATTGCAGTTATTTCCAGCTCTTTAGTATTTGCTGGAAAGAAAACACTTGTACTGGTTGACAACTGGTCATTACGCGAAACACATTCTATATTCTTCAGAACACTGCGAGGTTAGAAATTAATTACTCGTTGAAAATGAAATTCTATAATTTTTGTGTGACGGGATTGCTTCCCTTTGTAAATGTGGTAGATACTTAGTCTGAGCCGTAAGCGGTTGAGCTAAGGAAATACTTCTTTTGCTCCGTCGGTATACGAGCTTCTTTGTAACACAGAGGTCCCGGGTTAGAGTCCCGGTGGAGATGAAGATGATTTTGTAAGAAGAATCGTGCTCTCCGGTTACATTTCGTCATTTGCTTGAAAAACGAGAGATTTATATCCCATGACTAGTCCAAATAATTATGACGTCTTGGAAGGCTATTTTAAATTTTTGCTTTGTGACCTTCCTGTGACGTCATAATGCTGAAGCCACCATTTTCGGTTGTACTTTGAGAGCACATTTTGCTCTCAACTTTGAGACCCAATTTAGCTATAAAATTTTCATTGAAGGCTAACAATTTTTGCATATATAAAATCTCTTACCTTTTATGTGTTTGTTTGTGCAAAATATTTCCAATAAATCCCTACAGTAATAATAAAATAAGTTACAATTTCATCTGAGGCGGACGATTATCTAGTGTTTTTTTAAAACGTTTATCTGATTTCTCATGTTCTTTTTAGGAGAGTACAAAATATAAATTTCTGCACCAAACTCGGTAAAATTTGACAGACCCGGAACCTTTGTTTTATATTACCCGGAAATTCAGGTCCATCAAATTTTACCAAGTTTTGTTCATAAATATATTTTATACTCCTAAAAGGAGAAATCAGCATCATAAGGAGAAATCAGCTAAACGTTTTAATAAAGCAGTAAATTCCCTCTCAAAGTCCAACTGAAAATATGAGTTCGGCGTTATGACGTCTATGTAGGCCTCAAAGAAAAAAATATATAATAGCCTTTCAAGACGTCATAATTATTTGGACTAATCCCATGACCCGTAATTTGACGATATTGTCACTCCCTCACTATACACATATGCAAGTTTGACAAGTATTCATCGAGGGCCAACCCAAACAGTGATATTGTATTGCAATCTTCAATCTTCAATATTTGTCTTGATGACAGGGTAATCTCTTATGTAAATTATCATCTCTTGTAAAATTATAATCAGTTCAGTTCAGTTTCTTGTATATTCCTCCATTAATTGTGGAGCACTACCCATAGGGTAAAATTGTAGCAACTATATACACCTTAAAACATAAGGAAACATTCAATTTTGTACAGATTAAAGATATAATTACTAATGTAGTTTCTCCTTTGTACTTAAATATTGTAGGTGGCGCTTTTAAAAAATAATAATTAAGAACAAATTTTACTAAAAAAAAACTAAAAATTAAAAACATTGTATAATCAGGTAATTGAATTGGTATAAAGAAAAAAATGAAAAAGAATGTGTATTGAATTATCCACTAAAACGGTTCGTTTCCTGTATGTACTCGGCTAATACTTGAATGATATTTTCTGCATTTGACAGATTGATTGCTAATAAATTGCCTAAATCTGTTAGAATTTGAACTGTTATGAAGTAAATTTGATGAAATAATTTGTCTCTGGCATCAGAATATAGATAGTGTTGTACATCTTCTTTTTGTTTGCAGTGTTCACATATCACCCTGTGTTTGTCCATCTACATGAGGCTATTTTTGCCTCGGCCATAGTTGTATCGGCCACTGCATTGAATGATGTTCTTAACATAAGCATATGCATTATCAAGGATTTGTATCGCAAGTCTTACTATCCAAATTTTTGATAACCGAGAATAGAAAATAAACAATGTCATTCCTGGATAAAAAAGTAGACCCTTGCGAAAAATGAAATCAATTATTAAATTGTTGAAAAACATGAGTAACCTTTTTTTTACTAAGGACTGACTTATAAGTGTACTAGATTCAAGTTTTTACACATCTATGATCCTGTAACTTATTTATAGCAATGACCAAACAATGAAATATGGTCTGAATGGTGAATGTCAGTGAAGTCCTGTCTATATATTATGGTCCCAGGTTAAGTCCCATATAGTGACTAGTATATTTAATAATTCAGACATACATGATATGATAACTAATTATCAAATAATCAGAGGGATGGTTATGATGAGGACTTTATCATCCTTACATTTTAAATAACAATCATATCTTGTTCAGTATATTTAGACTTGTTTATAAAAACTATGTATATAAATTATATTTTTAGTATTCTTTGGGCATAATGTGTGCTTGGGTTAATTACATCATGTACAGTGTATGTGCAAAATTAAAATTATTTAATTTTACACATTTATAGTAGTTAATCTCTTGCTTAAATACTAAACATGCTCAATGTATTATCTTGTTATCTATCACCTTTTATTCCATCCATGTTGTAAGACATATCTTTTCTTATTTGTATTTATACATATTGCAATCTATTATAAATTGTGAATATTGGGTAAATGACGAAAACTGGTGCCATCAGAATTTCATCTATTAAGCTTTCTGATTATATATATATATATATGTATATAAGGATAGAAATAAAACAAAAAATTCTTTTTTTTTTCAGAGAAAGGATATGATTTGACCTTCAAGACAGCTGATGATGCTTCCCTGGCTTTGGTGAAATATGGAGAATTCTTGTATGACAATCTCATCTTGTTTTCACCATCAGTTGAAGGTATACATATTTAACCAAATCATAAACTTTACACATGTGCAAATGTATACATGAAAGAATTGAAAGAAAGAACAATTGCATAGTGTCTTGAGCTAAATGTTGTTCTTCCCTTTTAAAACTACTATGAACCAAACAAACAAACAAACAAAAATGTAATCATAGAACAGACATAATAAACAATCAAAACACAGCTACAGAGATAAACAATATAAAAGTCTTTACTGCAAATTTGGGCCCCAGAAGAGGCAGTGTTGTACATCGGCCATATCAAAATAAAAGTGTATAAACAAGTAAAAACCATAGAAATGAAACTAAAAACAACATACATGTACATCATCCTTTTTTTTTTGTTTTTTGTTTAATATATCAGCCAAAACCTATAAAAATTTTGTAAATGTTCTTTTAGTCTGTGCACCCTCAAAATCTGTTCACTATATTGACAAAAGAGCACTCCTTCTGTAGATGTCCAATCTTGTAAAAGGCAGAGTACATTGTAGTTGGTCATGTTGGTAAATGACCAATCAAAAGTGTTGTATAGACTACCTTATAAGAAAGATTTTGAAAAATGATTTTCTTTACTTTAGAATTTGGAGGTTCTGTAAATGTAGAGGCTATCACCAGTTTTATAGATGGAGGGGGTAATGTTCTTGTTGCTGCTAGTTCTCAAGTTGGTAAGTATTTTAAGTATTTGAAGTATTATAAACTTCATGTATATTCACTAAGAGTATAATTTAAGGATAGAATTTGTCAATATCCATTTCTCTTTATATGTCACCACTTCAAGGAAGGAAAACATATTGTTTTATCATTGTTTAACCTGCATTTGTATAACTTTGAAGTTACAAATTAAGCGGAATACCTAATATCTTTGATATAAACAGAGTTACTAATTTAGAAAATAATGTTGGTGTTTGGGGTTTACGACATAATAGAAAAGAGTGCTCATAGTATTTTGACGTCACACCATCTGATATAGATACCTAACTTCAGAAAATTAAAACTCATACTGGTCAGACATTGAAAACTTACAATATGTCTGAATGATAATAAACATTGCCAGCTTGATTGTTTGATTCTCATCTAACCATAATAATATTTCATACATAACATGATATGCACCTGGATAATAGAAAAGGAGGAATCCTTTGCATTTTTGTCTTTTTCGTTGGTTCTTAAGGGAAACATGGACAAAGTTAATCCTTAGTATTTTCAAATAGCATATTGGGATTTGAAATGTCACTGTTTCCCTAAAATTAATGCACCACATTAAGTATACTTTTATAATGCAATCCATTCAGATAGCATCATGATACCATAAGGCCCTTAGGAGGACATGGACCAAACCTACAAGTTCCAATTTTAAGTATACACAAATACAATGGCATTCTCACAACCTATTATGAAAGTGCTTTTTTTCTTTTGAATTATTTTTGGGACCACTTCAAACAAAATGTGGGCTCAAACAAATCTACTAAAGGGACTAGGATTCTTGAAGTTGCATCTCTTCATAAATAAATTATAATTTAAATTATATATTTTTACACAATTTTATGTCGCTTTGTTGCTATATTAATACGATTTTGTTTAGGGGACACCATCAGAGAATTGGCTACAGAATGTGGTGTAGAATTAGATGAGGAGAAGACAGCTGTGATTGATCACCTTAATTATGACATGGCTGATCAAGGAAAAGTAGGTCATGCAAAAATCTTATAAAAAGAATGCCATCAGCCTTTTTCATGCGCTTTGGATCTAATGCCTGCTGTTCTTTTATATTTGGTTGCATGTTTGAAAATAAATGTAGTTATGCTCGGGAACGCATTATCTTTCAGTCTTGACTTCAGTATTGTAAGCTTTATGAACGTAAAAATTATTCTGAATGTCACAAAAATATATAATCACTAGTTGCTAGATGAACTGGGTTTGTAACAGTAACATCAAAAATTCACATTTTCAAATGTTAGAATACAAATGAGTTATTATCCTATAAATTGAACTTACCTTTAAATCTCTGAAAATTTCAATTTTTTCATAAGAGACTTACAGTCAGGGGTACAACTTGTACAAGTAATTTTTATACGACCGCATGGTCGTATATTGGTTTGACGTTGGCGGCGGCGGCGTCGTCCGAAGACACTTTAGTTTTCGCACTCTAACTTTAGTTTAAGTGAATGGATCTCAATGAAATTTTACTTTAAGGCTCAATACCACAAAAGGAAGGTGGGGATTGATTTTGGGGGTTATGGTACCAACAGTTAAGGAATTAGGGGCCAAAAATAAGCATTTTTGTAACTTCCAGACATAACTTGTGTGTAAGTGTATGGATCTCTCTGACATTGTACCACAAGGTTCCATGTCACAAAGGGAATGCTGGGATTGATTTTGAGGGTAATTGCCTCCAAATTTTAGGAATTAGGGGCCAAAAAGGGGCAAAAAACAAGTATTTTTCTAGTTTCATGACAATAACTTGTGTGTTAGTGTATGGATCTCTCTGACATTGTATCACAAGGTTCCATATCACAAAGGGAATGCTGGGATTGATTTTGGGGGTAATTGCCTCCAAATTTTAGGAATTAGGGGCCAAAAAGGGGCAAAAAACAAGCATTTTTCTAGTTTCATGACAATAACTTGTGTGTAAGAGTATGGATCTTTATGAAATTGCACTACAAGGTTCCATATCAGAAAGGGAAAGCTGGAATTGAGTTTGGAGGAAAGTGACCAAAAAGCTTAGGAAGAAGGGGCCACAAAGGGGCCAAAAATAAGCATTTTTCTAGTTTCCAGACAATAACTTGTGTTCAAGTGTATGGATCTCTCTGAAATTGTACTGCAAGGTACCATACCACAAAGGGAAGGCTAGGATTGAGTTTGGGGGTAATTCCCTCAAAATTTTAGGAATTAGGGGCCATAAAAGGGCAAAAAAACAAGCATTTTTCTAGTTTCAGGACAATAACTTGTGTGTAAGTGTATGGATCTTTATGAAATTGTACAGCAAGGTTCCGTATCACAAAGGGAAAGCTGGGTTTGAGTTTGGGGGTAATTGCCCTTAACGTTTAGGAATTTGGGGCCAAAAAACAAGCATTTTTCTAGTTTCCAGACAATAACTTGTGTTCAAGTGTATGGATCTCTCTGAAATTGTACTGCAAGGTACCATACCACAAAGGGAAGGCTGGGATTGAGTTTGGGGGTGATGAATCATAAGGGGGTTCAAAAAATTTGGGGGGGGGAATTTTTTTTCTTTAGAATTTTCCATTTTAAATTGGTTATTTCTGATTTATATATAAAAGCAAATAATAATGATATGGTTTGAATAGGTAAATTTAAATTTTTTAAGTTCTTAGACCACTTTCATTCTGTGTCAGAAACCTATGCTGTGTCAAATATTTAATTACAATCCAAATTCAGTGCTGTATCAAGCTTGAATGTTGTGTCCATACTTGCCCCAACTGTTCAGGGTTCGACCTCTGCGGTCGTATCAAGCTGCGCCCCAGCGGAGCATTTTATTATTTACTTGAAGAAGTAAATATTAATATACTTATATAAGTAAATTTGTAAGATACCTATACAAGTGTATTTTATTTACTTGTATAGGTAAATTATTTTAATGGCTAAGTTATGTCCCTTAGACATTCAGATTTTTTACTTGTACAAGTAAAAAAGTCATACTATCTTCTTTTCTTGAAATTCTCAAGACTTCTTTGCTCTAATAGAATTTTTTTATTGTCTGGTCTTTGCAGATGTCTTTACTGATCACTTAAGTGTAATTTCATGGACAATTAAAATGTCAATTGTCTGTTATCTTCTCATTTACAAGCCTCCAGGTGGCAATTTTTGAAGGCCTTGCACAATTACTTGAGATCTTTGCCCAATTAGTTTCTCTGTTGGATTAATGAGATGAAACATTGAACTCTAATAAAAAATTATGAGCTTACACGAGAAAAATTGTTTACGGCATGTTTTTACATCCCAAAACTTGAGAATTTTAGGGAGTGTAAAAAAAAATACTTATACAAGTAAATTTTTTGAGAAAATTAAAGGGAGATTATATTCAAACCTTATAAGAAAATTATGAATATAACAAATTTACTTATACAAGTATTTTATTATTTTCTTCTTCAAGTAAATGAAAAAAAAACTTGTATAAGTTGTACCCCTGACTGACTTAATCAAATGTTGAATAGTATGTTAACAGGGGATGCAACTCTTTTATTTTTTTCAGCACACCTTGATAGTTGCTGAACCAAAGAACTTGTTGGATGCACCAATGGTGGTTGGAAGCAAAATTTCCTCACCTTTCCTGTTCAGGGGAGTTGGGTAGGTATTAATTTATAAAACTTGCTATGTAAGGTATGACAATTAAAGAATATTTTGATGATAATGAATTTATATATGTACATAAAATAAGAAGATGGAGTGATTGTCTATGAGATAACTATCCACCAGAGTCCAAATGAGGCCTGGGCATGATGAAATGTGAAACATGCTTTTTTCAGTGAAATTTTGACACACTATCGATCTTTTCAAAGTACAAAATAGTTCTAAGGGTAAACGTAACTGATACACAAAAGCAATTGTGTAAGATTAAAACACTATGTGTTGACATTTGGAAGACATTCAGTTGCTGTTATAATGATGGGTACCACACATCTTCTATTCACATGAACCCAGTTATAATGATGAAATCGTTTACTGAGAATAGTTAACTAATAATGTGGTTAAGGTTTACCTTCATGATAATATAGGGTTGATACATAGGTGTCACTAGTCAGTATGTCTTTTATTTGGTTACAAGCCAAAACATATTGTATCTTGACCTAGTGGGGTTGCTTAACTATATATATTTCCTTTCCTGGATGTTGACCTTTTGCAACTTTTCAATGTTCAAATTTTATTTGTTGGTGAAAAATGTTTTGCCTAAGAGTTGAAGCTAAATTTGGGTCAGTTGGGGAAACCCTTCACACACTTCTGTTTTTAGCCATAAAAGCAGAGCAACATTGATTTCTGAGAGATTAAATTAGTATTTTAAATACTTCATGTCTTGTTTCATTGTAGAATGGTAGCTGACCAGGAGAATCCTTTAGTAATGAATGTACTACATGCCTCCTCTACAGCCTACTCTTTCAATCCTGATACTAAGATAGATGATGTAAGTAAACAGTACTGTAGAGGAATTCATGTATAGGATGTTCCTCACGAAGGTCAAATAGATAGGATTTCACTGAACTGCAATCAGTTCAAATAACACATTGAAATAAAAGTACAATATACTCCTGTTTATAGAAACAGGAGGTAGACTTACTCAATTGTTTATACGACCGCAAAAAAATTTTGTGGTCGTATATTGGTATGACGTTGGCGTCGTCGTCGCCGGCGTCGTCGTCCGAATACATATTGGTTTTCGCACTCTAACTTTAGTTTAAGTGAATGGATCTTTTTGAAATTTGACCATAAGGTTAAATACCACAAAAGGCAGGTTGGGATTGATTTTGGGGGTTATGGTACCAACAGTTAAGGAATTAGGGGCCAAAAAGGGGCCAAAAATGAGCATTTTCTAGTTTCCAGACAATAACTGTGGAACGGTGTATGGATCTCTCTGAAATTATACTACAAGTTTCCATACCACAAAGGGATGGTTAGGATTTGCTTTGGGGGGTTATGGCTCAAACGGTTTAGGAATTAGGGGCAAAAAAGGGGGAAAAACAAGGTTGTCCTGGTTAATGGACAAATACTTTAGTACAAAACATAATTTAAAGCAGTGTAAGGGAGATAAATCAAATACATCATTGAAATTATCTCCCTTACACTGCTTTTAAATTATGTATAAAGTAATGGTTAATGAACAATAAAGATAATCTAAAACAGTGTAAGGGAGGTAATCCAAATACAACGTTTTGGTTACTTCCCTTACACTGCTTTTAAATTATGTTTAAAGAAATGCATATTTATAAAGGAAGACCAGTAAAAATATCTGCAAATGTTTTCATCTTTTTTTTTTACAAAAAAATCCATATGAAAGATTTGACACTATATTTTTATTAATTCTATTATAAAATAGATTAAGTTAGCACTATGGTAAATTTAAATGGGTAATTATGGTTGCCAACTCCATTGGAAATTTGAATTGAGATTATGACCATATCTTGAGGGAAAGAATTTTTTTGGGGGAAAAAGGGGGGGGGGGGATAAAAAGAAATTGTGGGGGCCAATTTTTTCTCATTTCAGATTTCAGAAATTAAAAAGAATTATTCTTCAAATATTATTTTTTTTTCAAATTTCAAATATTGAAAAATTTCAAGAAGTAATCTTTAATTGTACAGTATGGCGCATTAGATTTGTAAAATCTTTGATCACATTTATTTATTTGTTATGCCGAATCTAACAGTGTATTTAGATTTTTAATTTTGGGTCCAGTTTTCAAATTGGTCTACATTAATGTCCAAAGGGTCCAAAATTAAACTTTGTTTGATTTTAGCAAAAATTGAATATATGAGGTTCTTTGATATGCTGAATCTAAACATGTATTTAGATTTTTGATTTTTGGCCCAGTTTTCAAGTTGGTCCAAATTGGGGTCCAAAATTAAACTTTGTTTGATTTCAACAAAAATTGAATATATGGGGTTCTTTGATATGCTGAATCTAACCATGTATTTAGATTTTTTATTTGTGGACCCCGTTATCTAATTGGTTCATATTGAGGTCAAAAGGGTCCAAAATTAAACTTTGTTTGATTTCATCTAAAATTGAATTATTGGGGTTCTTTGATATTCCAAATCTAACCGTGTATTTAGGTTTTTAATTTTGGGTCCTGTTTTTTAAATTGGTCTACATTGAGGTCCAAAGGGTCAAAAATTAAACTTAGTTTGATTTTGACAAAAATTGAATTCTTGGGGTTCTTTGATTTGCTGAATCTAAACATGTGTTTAGATTTTTGATTATGGGCCCAGTTTTCAAGTTGGTCCAAGATAGGGTCCAGTATTTAAACTTTGTTTGATTTCAACAAAAATTGAATATATGGGGTTCTTTGATATGCTGAATCTAAACATGTATTTAGATTTTTGATTATGGGCCCAGTTTTCAAGTTGGTCCAAATTGGGGTCCAAAATTAAACTTTGATTGATTTCAACAAAAATTGAATATATGAGGTTCTTTGATATGCTGAATCTAACCATGTATTTAGATTTTTTATTTGTAGGCCCCGCTATCAAATTGGTTCATATTGAGGTCAAAAGGGTCCAAAATTAAACTTTGTTTGATTTCATCGAAAATTGAATTATTTGGGTTCTTTGATATGCCAAATCTAACCGTGTTTTTAGATTTTTAATTTGGGTCCCGTTTTTTAAATTGGTCTTCATTGAGGTCCAAAGGGTCCAAAATTAAACTTAGTTTGATTTTAACAAAAATTGAATTCTTGGGGTTCTTTGATATGCTGAATCTAAACATGTGTTTAGATTTTTGATTATGGGCCCAGTTTTCAAGTTGGTCCAAGTTGGGGTCCAAAATTAAACTTTTTTTGATTTCAACAAAAATTGAATATATGGGGTTCTTTGATATGCTGAATCTAACCATGAATTTAGATTTTTTATTTGTGGGCCCTGCTATCAAATTGGTTCATATTGAGGTCAAAAGGGTCCAAAATTAAACTTTGTTTGATTTCATCAAAAATTGAATTATTGGGGTTCTTTGATATTCCAAATCTAACTGTGTATTTAGATTTTTTATTTTAAGTCCCGTTTTTTAAATTGGTCTACATTAAGGTCCAAAGGGTCCAAAATTAAACTTAGTTTGATTTTAGCAAAAATTGAATTCTTGGGGTTCTTTGATATGCTGAATCTAAACATGTGTTTGGATTTTTGATTATGGGCCCAGTTTTCAAGTTTGTCCAAGTTGGGGTCCAAAATTAAACTTTGTTTGATTTTAACAAAAATTGAATATATGGGGTTCTTTGATATGCTGAATCTAACCATGTATTTTGATTTTGGACATTGGACCATAATAGGTAAATTAAAAAAATTCAAGTTCTTAGACCACATTCTTTCTGTGTCAGAAACCTATGCTGTGTCAAATATTTAATAACAATCCAAATTCAGAGCTGTATCAAGCTTGAATGTTGTGTCCATACTTGCCCCAACTGTTCAGGGTTCGACCTCTGCGGTCGTATCAAGCTGCGCCCCAGCGAAGCATTTTATTATCCATTTGTAAAATTCAAGAAATACAGTTTCCAGCTGTCTGAAACTGGATCTGGTTTTGACTACTAAACTTTGGACAATTTATACTGGAACTCCAGCTAGAATTTGATGAAACATATTAATGGGATTTTTTATGTGCATAATACTTGATATACAGCTTAAAAAACTCACAAAGATATTCCCATAATAGAAACATCTTAAAAATTTCTAATTAATCCAGATTTCAGTTTAATACCACAGTGATACGAATACAAGAAGTAGATAATGTTATTTTTTGCTTTGCAGTATTTCTGGATTACAAAATTGATTTGAAATTAGAAAACAACTTAACATATGTGTTCATTTATTTGACAGTATCCCCATGCAGTTGGAAAGAACACCCTCCTTGTTGCAGCATTACAGGCCAGAAACAATGCCCGAGTGGTGTTTGTTGGATCCCTTGAATTCTTCAGTGATGAGTTATTTACATCTCCAGTACAGAATGCCATTGGCAAACAGAAGTAAGACTAGTTTCAAAACACGTTACATCTACTGTTTCCTTTTTCTAGTTAAATGAATGGTTCAGAATAAGGTAAAAGTCTTTTTTTTGTTTATGGTTCTATTGCATGCATTTTTTGGCAATTTACAGCTTACCTGTTTCAAAGAATGACAATCACGAAAATATCCATCAAACTTGAATCCATGTGATGTTTTGGAATTTACAAAATTTGAATCTGTTCAATATTTAACATGGTCAATGTGTATAGTTTTAAATATATGTAACCGAAATATTCTGTACTTGGACATTGGTCAAAATATTTGTGGTTGTGGCAGTCTAGTACTGTGATAAAAATCTGGGTCATTTACAGACCTCTAAAAAGAATGATATGATAATAAGTTTAATTGTTTATCCATGGTTAGAAATTCACAACAGCATGTATTCTCGTTAAATTTATGAACCATTATCATGGAATAATCTTGAATTTCTGTTAAATAACTGGTCAAATCTGCTGGATTTCTTGAAATTTTTTAAATATTTTAATAATTAAAATGAAATTTACATAAAAAGATGATTTATTTTGTTAAATATGTCATGGATTATATTTTGTTCTTTTTAGATTTGATAAATCTGGTAATGAACAGTTGGCATTTAACCTGGCTGACTGGGTTTTTAGAGAGAAAGGAGTTCTTAGAGTCGGAGCTGTAAAACACTTGAAGAAAGGGGAGAGTGCTCCACCTCAGTATTACACAGTCTTTGAAGAAGTGGTAAGTTTGAGTTGTTTTACCTGAAAGAAGTTATTGAAAATTTAAAAAGAGAGAATTAAGTCATTCAGTATTTTATTCCAACCAATATATTCTCATGGAGTGTGTCCAGTTTTTAAACAGTTAACTGTACATGAAAATATGATAGTGTGAGAGGGGAATGTATCAGATGGACATATTATTGTTACTTTGAAGAGTGAATATGTAAAGCAAACTTATTGTGTACAAATTTTTCTTGAAGGTTTTATACAAAAATACAACATCTTTCATGTGTTAAAGTCTTAAGATTACAACTTAGTTTTATTTATAAAAAAGAAGATGTGGTATGATTGCCAATGAGACAACTCTCCACAAAAGACCAAATGACACAGAAATTAACAGCTATAGGTCACTGTACGGCCTTCAACAATGAGCAAAGCCCATATCACATAGTCAGATATAAAAGGCCCCGAAATCACAAATGTAAAACAATTCAAACGAGCAAACTAACAGCCTAATTAATGTACTAAAAAATGAACGAAAAACAAATATGTAACACAGCAACAAACGACAACCACTGTATTACAGGCTCCTGACTTGGGACAGGCACATGGTTTATTAATTAAAAAGGGTTAAACAGAACTAGACATTTCTGATAAGATCGATGAATTGTACTATGTTCATGTGACTAAGTTGTATTGGTTCAGATGTACATTTGCATATGAAATGGTAACAACATTGGACAAGGTATACATCATGTAGCTAATATAAAATTAAATAACATATTTTCAATTTTTTACAATAGATTTTTTTTTATTTCAGTCTTATTCAGTTGTGATTGATGAATTGAAAGGAGGAAAATGGGTTCCATTCACTGCCAATGATGTACAACTGGAATTTGTCAGAATTGACCCATTTGTAAGAACCACTCTGCAACCCAAAAGTAAGTATATTCAAGGTTTTTACGTCCCATCTTTTATAGATAGGTTTCAACTGACACAATATGAGCAAGAGTTATTTCCCCTTTTGTTTTGGTTAAAGCTAGTTTATGTTCACATCAACTTGAAACTAAGAAAGGGGGCTGTTTGACACATTTGTATGTTTGCCAATTTAGGGATTTGACCAAAATTTCTCAGAGTTCACTGAACATGTAAAAAGTGATAGTGTAAGCGGGACTGAGTGTCCTATTGACACATAATCTTGTCAAATATTTGAGGTGATTAAAAAAATATAGATGTATATTTTTATGTAATGAGAACTTTAGCTGAAATTAAGCCTAGACAATCATGAAATAAAATAGATTGAGGTATGCATAGAGTAAGTTTTAAATTTTACAATTGATCATGTTGACTGTGGAATGGGAAAGGAAGAGTAAAGAAGCATGGAGATTCCCAGATAGATTTCTTCTTGAAATAGAAATATATCTGGAGAAGACATATGGAAATAGTGTCATTTATTCATTATTTTTGTTATATAACAAAATCTTATTCTTTTCTCAGATGGAAAATTTTCAACTATCTTTAAGTTACCGGATGTGTATGGTGTGTACCAGTTCAGAGTGGACTACAACAGGATAGGTTACACACATCTGTTTAGTACAACTCAGGTGAGAGGTTAATTTAGTGTCAATGATAATTATAGGTTTCATAATGAGTGAGAATGGGATATCGCTTGATATCAACTCGAGTTATTTAATTTCAATATAATATATTAATATTTAAATTAAATAACGAGAGTTGGTATCAAGTGATATCCGATTTTCACAAGTTGTTAAACCTATTTCTCTTATGGTCAACACACTCAATGTGTAGAATTAAAAATTCTGTGAATGTTGATCTAGTCTTTTGCACATTCCAGTATGACATATGTCTTTTTCCAGTGTCAAACTTTAACATCAGACATTTTAAAGACTTTTTGTACGCTTCAGAATGTAATGAAATTTGCCAAAAAGAAGATTGTCAGGTGAAATGTGTGAGTGTTTTGTATATTATTGAAGAAATCACAATGTCCGTTGCCATGAACAAAATGTACATCGTCTTAACCTTTGAAAGTCACCATTGACCTAAGGAATAACCAATGGAAATGCCGTAATATCATCTTGTGATGCTGGATAAGCCAATCAAATTAACCCAGATTTTCGTATCACTTTTTAGTATCACACTCCGTGCAGTGTGATACGAGAAATATATATTCATGCGAGAAATAGATAACAGGCTACAACCATAAGAGAAAATCACTTATGGAAGTCTGTTTTGTCAAAGAATTCTTGGAATATTACACAAAGCCATATTCACACACATGAAAAATAATTTCTCATCAATTTTTTACAAGTTCTTGGATATATTTATCTTATAAGGAAAAAAAATGCATACAATTGTGTTTTGAAGAATGAATAGAAGAAAAAAAAATAAAAATAAAAAAAATAGATATTTGAATCAATGGAAAACAATTAGAAAATAAAAATTAAACATTATACGTATTATTTTATGTAAGAACTAGACCATGTAATCTTTATATTTTTCTAGTGGTATAAATATCACAAGTACTTATAGAAATTGACATTAAAACATTAATGATATACCTATGATTGTAGTTATGAATGAAAAATCTTTTTATTATTACTTTTATTTTTCTTCATCCCTTTTATGTCTTTGGAAGGTTTATAATAGAAATTTCTGAGAACCTGAGCATGATTAATAAGCTTGTTAAGTGTTAAACTGGTCAGGTTTCATACCTAATTTTATCCAGCTGGTTATTCCAAACACTAACCATTTAAAGGTGGTACAATCCTGTCAAAAAATATATATTATACTGTTTTTGCATACACAAGTCTTAATTCCAGCTAATATTAAGTTCTTTTTTATTACAGGTATCTGTGAGACCATTAGAACATACACAGTATGAGAGATTTATCTATTCAGCATTCCCATACTATGCTAGTGCCTTCTCTATGATGGCTGGAGTAGTCCTGTTTAGTATAGTCTTCTTACATTTTAAAGACGAACCAAAAGAAAAGAAGGAATAACGAACAGTTTTAGTAGTTCACCAAATTTTTAGGTTTATACTTTTATCAGATACAGTTTATGTTTACTTATGTTCAAGTATATTTCACATCTATGTAGAACATATTGTTTTACTGCATAAGAATATGTCACATTTACTTTTTATGTTTATTTCTTTAATTTTTTTGGAACATTTGACTTTTGACATTAAGATAAGAAGACTTTTGTACACATTTATTGAAATAAAATTTCCACTAAAATAATTTATATTATGTATTAGTGTTATATGCCAGACTAGAGTGGATGTAGCAATTTCATTACCCATTTTTGGCATCTTGGGTCAAAGTTGAAGATTCTTGACTACCAGTATTCTATTAGGTATTTACTTCCTTTATTTAGGCATGTCTGAATCTTCGACTTTGATATATATGACGCAACAAAGTTTTCATCCTGTCTTGTCTTCAGTTTGTTGTTGCTGTGCTATTGCCTTAAGTTTCTGACAAACTCTCCGATTAGTTTGATAATCAGATAAATCAGAAATGAAGGACAATTTTTGCAATAGGGGAACTTGTTAAAAAATCCCATATTAATTTCCTGAAAGGTTTCCATTTTCAATGTTTTACTCAAGTTTGCAAAATAAATGGGATAGAAATAAATATACATTGAAGAATGCAATCCAAAACAACTTCCGACTGTTTTTTTCTTTGATAGGTGTTAAGTTAAGGTTAAATTTTTGTTTTAATTACGTTAAGAGGAGTCTTAGTTTTGCTTTCTGTGTATCAACAATGATGTGGGTTAAGTTTTTGTGATTGGTATAAATAAGGAGATGTTGCAATGAGAAAACAATCCAATTGTTATGCTGATAATTATGATTCCATGTTTGTTGAGTCTTGTAAAATGTGAGAATCTACCCCCCTAAGTTTTGAATCTTGTTACTTAACAGTTCAAGATTTATTGTTCACATAAAATTCAAATTTGTTTATACAAAACCAACTATTACTTAAATTGATTAATAAAGTTCAACTTGTTCATTTGAAAGGAAAAGGTTTGGTTATATGTATTTGTGATGAAAATCCCATAAAATGTTGTTTGAAAACAAAGGATAATTGGTCAATATACAGATGACATGATAAGATGGAATAAGGATATAATGTAAATTTGACTACCATCACATGAAGCCAGAAATAAATAGGGATCAATGTAGTTGGAACATCAATCCTCCGAAACGTTTGGAAGAAAATAGTTTATGAATGATAGAATGTCGTGGAAAATGTTAGGCAGAAAATAGTGAAAAGTGCAAACTAACATGGAGCAAAGTTAAATATAAGAGTTGGTCTAAGAGGCAAATGATTACCTTTTTACAAGGAGAGCAGTAAAGCTAAACAATGCATTGTTTCTTCAATGAAAATTCAAATGTCAGGATTCTATAATACACAAATAATGAGATATGGTATTTCTAATGTATGGAAGCAGGTTTAGACCACATTGAAAAAAAAATTGTTGTATTAACAACATAACTATGTTGTAATAGCAACATAGATACAACTATAATTTGGCATATAATTAAGAAAAAATTGCTCTGCGATTTAGATACTTTGCTTATTGTTAAAGCTGTATGTTGACCTATACTAGTTGCTAACGTGGGGTACACAAATTGCACCTATTTTGACAGTTTTTTCACCTACACTTATTTATGATTCAGACAAAAGTTTCCATTCTGTGTTTATTTTGTAATTGAATCCTTATTTACTATACAGTTTAATCAATTTTAATTTTGAATAATAGAAAAATTGACTTGAACCGACCACCAAACGATCCATGACTCTGTTATGAGTACCCAAATTGCATTCATGTTTAAATTATCATCCTTAAAAATTGAATAACAGATGTTTTGTTTTATTTCTTCCAATATTTAGAACAAATTGATATTAGTCCATGGTTACCCTTTTTTTTTAAAGAAATGAATGCTTGTAACATTCTATTTGCTCATTTTTAAAAGATGAATTTTTGTAGAGTTTACTTTCTCCAGGGAATACTACATCTGTTGATATAAACTATGAACATTTTGTGTATAACTACATATATTTACCAATGTTAAAAGACGTGTATATATACTAACATTTATTTAAATAGAAAACTCTTGAAAAACACTTTTTCTCACAACCATAGTTATTTATCAGAATCATAGCCTAAAAGAAATCACTGCATTTGCTCTAACTTTTCTTTTACAGTACATTTTATACCCCCACCCCTGTTTCAATTTTTTAAAGAATTTGAAAATAAGACTTTAATTATTGTCAGCTTACCCTATGTGCATGTTTGCTGACATGAAATGGCTAGAACCTGTTTGAAACTATACTGATAACAAATTGAAATCATTTCAGTATACTATAGATGTAAAGTTTAGTATTTATTTATTACAACATTCAAGATTATATAAAGTATCTAACATTGCTTCTGTCTCCAGTCCACATCTTACTGTATGCCTATTTATCTTTAAAAGATCACAATTTCTGCCTCAAATGGTCAGTTAAGAATTCTTGTCACAATAATACTATCTCTTACTATATATCTAACATAATTTGGCTAAAATATGACAAGAAGTTTTTAAACAAAGCCATATTTGCAAAAACTGTATGTATGAAGTTACCAGTCTGTTATATGAATTCACTAAAAGTTTTATTGAACTGACTGTTGGAATCTGTTTTTTGCATAAATTCAAAGCAGTTATTGTTTTCTATACAGAAGACCTTTATAATAATAAAATCATAGCCTTTACAGGCTAAATTATCAGTTTAATGACCCAGGGGTTAGGGATTTGTCTGTTTTTTGCCCCTGGGGCCTCAAATTTGCAAAATAATTCTGCTGTTTCTCTGAATATGGAATATTTAGTATATTTTTAGAATAGAACATACTATTTTTAGTTTTATTGAGGTATTTTTGTTTCTCTAGCTTGTATTTTTTTATGCCGCAGTCACAAGAAACCGCATTCAAGTGTTACGGCTTACGTTTGGGTTTTCGACAGGACGAAAACACCACAACAACAATATTCATCAAGTATCTATGATTTTAATGACTATGAAGAGTAAATATAAGCAACGCTAAACACTTTTAATTACAAATGAGCATATATTATGAATTAACTTTGCATACAGGGCCTTAGGTAAACTATGCTTATTTTAAACTGAATTTATGCTAAGTCATCATAGTAAAGTCCAAGGATTTCTCAATCTTCATGAAATATTTATATAACTTTATATTTGAGTTAATTTCATTAAAACTCTGAAAATAAACTAGATTTGGTGAAATTCTACATGTTCTCTTTTTTCACCCAATATAAGGTTGCATTTCTGTAAATATCGACAATGTAATTTCCCATTGGAACTCCTTTTACGTCTAAAACTGTACCACTTTTACTATGAAGTTTTGAAAAAAATTATATCCTAGAATGGAAAGTTCATATGCACTATTTTTTTCAAAGGTCAAAATATAGGGCTGTGCGGCATATTTTCAACGTTTATATGCCCTGAACTTCTAAGAGTTTAAACTTACACTAAAATTCTGTACTACCCCTACCTTGACTTTAGGTTTTCCACAGATTTCAATTTGACCGCTATGCATATGTATATTTACTGGTAACATTCCCAAGTTATGTCTCTACGAGATGAAACATAGAGATCATATCTGGGAACCAATACGTAAACAAAATTAATTATCTATGAATATTATATATCTCCCCAAAAGAGGCGTGGTATGTGAAACAGCTGTATTTACAAAGTGCAACCTATAATGTCAAATTATGAAAACACAAATTGTTTGGTCTCAACGAGAACTTGTCAGATTTGCGCTGCTATTTTTGCTAAAGAAGTGAAATTTGGGTACTGTGTGACATTATCTTCTATGTCATATTCTATCTGGTGGAGAGTTGTCTCATTGGCAATCACACCACATCTTATATTTATAATGTGTACCAAGTTTCAATTTTATGTGACCACAACTTCATGGTAAACAAATGTTGATGTACTGGTTTCACATTATCACATTTCTATGTTAAGGGAACCATTAAATCAAAACTGTTCTGCATTAACTTTTAAAAGTTCACGTCATTATGAACATGTGTGGTAGGATTCAAGTTGATGTGACCACAACTTCAAAGGTGTCTCTTCAACAAAAACTTTAACCCAATATGAGACGGACAAACACAGACCAGAAAACATACTGCCCCTCCTGCAATGCTAGGTAGGGCATAAACATATGTAGCTTCATTGTAAATGGAAGAGATGCACCAAGAGAGAATGACCTATATACCTCTTCATGTCATGTACATGAAAGATTTCACAAATTACACTCAATTATCTGATTGATTGATTGATTGGTGTTTAACACCACTTTCAACACTATTGTGGTATTTTGTGGCGGTCAGTTTTTATTGGTGGAGGAAGCCAGAGTGCCCAGAGAGAACCACTAACCTTCAGTAGGAACTCAATTATCTGAATCTATATATATATCTCATAGCTGATCTCTATAATTTATAAAATTTTTGATTGAGATTGGTCCACTAAAGAATTTTTCAGACTATTAATGTTTTTGTAATCTGCTTATTTTTTCGTCATTTAGGATGTGTTCATGTGATAAGCAAACTTACAAAGTGATAATGAAGGCTCCTTTTGGTTCCAATTAGAGGAGTGGTTAAAGAGATGTGTATTTGAAAAAGGTTTTAATGGACAGCCAAGTGATATGCCCACCCCCCCCCCCCCCCCCCCCCCCTCCTTTTCTGCTCTGAATTATGAGTATAGTTCCACATATTTTAGATTTGACAAACAGTGATGTTGGCATACAACTTGGAATTTGTTATGCTGTCTGTAAGACACAAATGATTCCCCCGCCTGACCATATAAATTACTATGTATGATGATGTAACTGTAGGAGGAGATAGCCGGACATACCATGAACTACCTGTCATTTTCATAATATTTAAAAGAAATCAAAATCCTGTGACCATGCACACCTTCATTATGTGTATGAACATCCTACAAAATATTAAAGCTGTATCTCCAAAACTGTAGGAGGAGAAAGCTGGACAAACCATGATCTCTTTATGAAGCTTGTACCAAACAAATGACCTAAGTCCAACTACCTGTCATTTTCAGAATATTTAAAAGAAATCAAAATCCTGTGACCATGCACACCTTCATTATGTGTATGAACATCCTACAAAATATTAAAGATGTACCTTCAAAACTGTAGGAGGAGATAGCCGGAC